GTTTTTATTGATTTTTAGAGGGATGGAGCGATAGAGACATTGATGAGAGAGAAACATTGATTGGCTGCCTCCTGCATGCCACCCACTGGGGATTGGGCCTTCAATCCATGCACTTGCTCCAACTGGGAATAGAGCCGGCGACCTTTTGGTTTATGGGTCCACACTCACCCACTGGGCCACACCGGCCGGGCTGTTTGGGGCTTTTAGACTGGGCTTCAGGGCTTGAAGCACCAATACAAGCGGGGCCTGCTTTCCCACCATTGGAGGGAAGGGGAGGGGAGGGGAGGGGAGGGGAGGAAAACATCTATTGGCTGCCTCCTGCATGCACCCTGACCTGCAATGCACCCTGGCAGGGAATCGAACCCACAACCTGGGTATGCACCCTGACTGGGAATGATCCTCTGATGAAAGAACGTTACCAAAGCATTCTCAAGGTAGGGCGTGGCGATGGGAGGCGCCCCCCTTTAGCGGCCGGCCTGTTGTGGCCCCAGCCCCAGTCTTAGCGCGCCAACACCGACTCCCGCGGCCTGGGCAGCTCTGCCTCCTACAGCCCCGTGAGAACAGGCTGTGCTGCCAGGGAATGGCCGCCCGGCAGAGCCTGGTTCTCTCGGGGCCTGTCCCGCACACGCTGAGCCACTTCCAATAGGCGCGGACAGAATGGATTCATTTTCCTTTTGAAGACAGGCCCACCGCCAGGTGCCCGCCGCCGGCCGCCATGGCAGGTTAAAAAACACCAGGGCCATATTTCTGGTACCTCAGTGTACCCCCCACGGAGAAGTAAAATGTCAGTGGAGCAAATTACCGAGTGAATGCATTGGAATCTATAAATATTAAATTGCTCTGGCTTTCACCTGCCCGTGTCCAATTAAAGCCCCAGTCGGCTCCAGGAGACAGGCGCTGGTTCGTGCGAGTTGGGCTGGAGAGGCAAGTGTCCCCAAAGGGCAGGGCTGAGGCTGACTCTGTGGGCTGTGGTCGTGGGGGGCCCTGGCTGGAGGAGAAGCAGCGGTGCAAAGAGCAGGAGGTGGAAAACCCAGATGCAACTGGAACTCAGGATGGGGTTGCTCTGACTTTATATCTGCAGCTCTGTGGGTGGGGGTGGGGCTGGGGGTGGGGGTTGGAGTGTGCAGGGAGCTATGTGTGGCATTTGTTACCCTGGCCCAGGACTCTAATGTGAGGGTGGCTGCCTTGCTCCCTCCAGGGACTGGACCCCTCAGAGCAGGTATTGGAACGCCCCCAGGCAGCAGGGCTGGAGTTGGGCCACTGGCCCCTTGGGCAGCCAGCTGTCCTCCTCCTGTCCTGCTGCCGCCCCTGCCCCAGGCTCCTCCCCCACACAGGCCCCGCCTCTGTGTGACGCCCATGGCATGGTTGGTTTGTGTTGGTTTGGCGTCTGTACACTGCCTGGGAGCGTGTGTTCACACCATCAGTTACGGTCGGACTCCTGGCAGGTGGGGGCAGCGTTTCCTGCCTCTTTGGGATCGTTTAGGATTTATCGACTGCTTCCCTGTGCCAAGACCCTGTGCGATGTTCTTTGAATACACAGCTCGTTGATCTTTACACAGTGGGGTGAGGTGGGAACTGCAGGACACCCACCCCGTGGCGCAGAGGGGAGAAGGGACTTGCTCGGGATCCGTGGAGAAGGTGTGTGCAGACCCAGCGGAGCTCCACGGCTGAGCAGGGGCTGGACCTGATCCCATCGGAGGCTTTCCTGAGCCTCTGCCTCGTCCCGGGTCCTCCTGTGCCCCCTGGGTGGGAGCTGCCCCTCCTGCGGGCGGTGGCCACGCCAGCTCTTTCTCTTGCAGGCATCCCCACCCTCATCGTGCTGGACCCGCAGGGGGAGGTGATCACGCGGCAGGGGCGGGTGGAGGTGCTGAACGACGCGGACTGCAGGGAGTTCCCGTGGCACCCCAAGCCCGTGCTGGAACTGTCCGACTCCAACGCCGTGCAGCTCAACGAGGGCCCCTGCCTCGTCCTATTTGTAGGTATGAGCTCAGCGGGGGGCCCAGGGTGGGCGGGACTGACCCACCTCACAGGGAAAATGTCTGTCCCTACAGCTTCTTTCTGTCACAGAACAATGGGGAGCCTGGGCCTTTGTCTCTCCCGCAGCCTTGCTTTTGACCCCAATGATTTATTCATGGCTCCTTTTTGCGTTCCCCCCCCCCCCCCAGGAGGGGTTCTGGGACCTACCGCTTTGCTTCCCTTCCTAGCTGCTCCCGACCGCCAGCTGGGCAGCACAGGTCAGGCCCTGGGCCCCCTGAACAGGCCCATTGTTGGGAGGAGGTGGGGCTGCACCGAGGCAGCTGCCGGGCTCAGGCTCCCCCCGCCTGCCCCACCCTCGCCCCTCGGGCTGCTGCTGCTGCTGGTCACCTGTGTTCTGGCCAAATGGCCGGGGCTGCCGGGCTCTCCCAGCCTCAGGTGGCATCTCTGTGGCCAACCGCCCCTCTCCGTCTCCCCTGTGTGGCTCGCTCTGGCGCTCGGTGGGTGGCTGCCGTGAGAGGCCGGAGGGCACAGGAAGATGGACTTGGCTCCCTGCAGCCCCGTGAGGTGGCTGATGCCTTTTGCTAAGAGAGCAACTGCTGCCCAAGACCCACCTCAGCCTCTGCCTGGGGACTCGCTGCTCAGCTCCAAGTAACTTTGGGTGCTAGGAGCATGGCTGAGAGGCCGTCATACCGACTCCATGTGTGCAACTCCCACCCCTGTTCTCGGGAGGTCTGGTTTGGAGACCCCCCGGGAAGGGGGACACAGGCAGACTCGGGAATTCTTGAGCACACCCACTGCAGGCTGGTCCTGTGCTTTGAGGACAGAGGCTGTCTGTCCAGAGGCTGTCTGTCCAGGGAAAGATGGCCTGGGGCTTTCCCCGCCTGCTACAGGCTCCCACACCTTTGTCCCGGGGCTGGGAAACAATTCTGAACTTAGGGACAACTGGGAACCCACTGGCCACCTGCAGATGTGGAAAGAGAGTTTCAGAGAAGCCAGGCAAGTTCCAGCATCACAGCGAATTAGATGTGGATCTAGAGTCCCACAGGATCTGCGCGCTGCAGGCCTCTCGAGCTGTGTGGCGTTTCTGGGTGAAAGTCACCTGCTGGCACCTGCTGCCCCTACCCCCCAGCTCTGCAACTCGGGATGTCACTGTTGTTCTCAGTTACAGGGCTCAGCGGGAGTGAGCCCGGGGCCCCGGTATGTGGCTGCTCTTGGAGGCAAGGGACGCCCCACAGGGGCTCGGGGAGCCTCGCTGGGTGGTCTCCGTGCAGCAGCCTGTCCCCTCCCAGGCGAGCCGGCTGTTAGCTCTGCCTCCCCCGGGGCCACCAAAGCTGCTGGCCAGACCACAGCCCCACCCACCACCACCTCTGCCATTTTTATCAGGAAGTCAGTGATCCGAGTCCCGGCATCTCATTCTGTGACTGAGAGAGACTCTACCGGGGACCTCCAGTCCTGGCTTAGGGGACGCTTAGCTCCCAAGGTGGGTTTGTGAAGAACTGAGTGGAACGTATCACTTTTGCTTGGGGGCGTTAGTGCTACTCAGTGAGGTGAGTTGTTCCTGGGAGCGCAGTGCAGGAGGGCACAGTGTGAGCAGGAGGCCTCCCTCCTTCCTGCACAGGAGGCAAGGCCGGTGTCCCCAGGGAATCGCTCCCACTCAGGGGCTGCCCAGGAGGGCGGTCCAGCCCTGGATGCAGGCGCCCTCAGGGGGTACCACTCGCTGACAAGCCCTGTGCTTGGTGTCTTTCTCTCCCCATCACAGATTCTGAGGATGACGGGGAGTCCGAGGCGGCCAAGCAGCTGATCCAGCCCATAGCTGAGAAGATCATCGCCAAGTACAAAGCCAAAGAGGAGGAGGCGCCTCTCCTGTTCTTCGTGGCGGGGGAGGTGAGTGCCGCCTGGGCCAGACCAGGGGCCGCCTTTGGAACTTGAGTGATGGGCTTCGGGGGATGTTGAAGGGGGCCCGGGGGTCTGGGGTGCCGGTACTTCTGGACGAGCTCACAGACAGGTGAGGCGGAAAAAGGTGTGTCGTGGAAAACCGCCTCCCGCCTGGCTGCCTCCTTCCAACTCCCTCACTCAGCGGCCTCCGAGCTGCAGGGAGCCCTCCCAGGGCAGAGCCCGCTCTGCAGCCACCGAGATCTCGGTCCACACTCCCTCCCTTGGGGCTGGGTGGGAACCAGGCCCTCGCTGCTTTACAGAGTGTCTGCTAGGTCAGCCCTGCCTCACCGGCCCTCCAGTGAGCTGTTCCCAGGCCAGGGATCCCGCCGGGGGCCACGCTCTGACCTGAAGTCCCAGCCAGCCAGAGAGGGTGCTGGGTTGGAAACTGCCCACATCCCCCTCTCTTAAGGCCGGTCTCATGAAGTTGGGCTGGATGGAGCAGAAGACTTTCTAAGGGTGAGAAGGCAGGGCCCTTCACTGACCACCTCCAGCAGGCGCCTGCCTCCTCCTGAGGCTGGGAGTCTGCAAGATGGGGTCAGCGCAGGCGCCCTACCTTGGTTCCCCTCCTCAGGAGCCATCTCTGCACATGCTCCACCGCCTCCCCAATCCAGCCAGGCGCCAGGCACCAGGCACCAGCCACCCCCGGTTATTAACAGACACTTTTTGAAGCCCCGGGGCCTCCTTCCGCCCCTCGGTACCCCCAGTTGGTCAGAGCCCATGCTTATTTCAGGCTGTATTTGGATCCCAGGAGAGGCAGCAGTGGCCAGACACCCTGAACCAGCACCCATTCATCACCCCCTCAATAGCCTCCCCTGCTAAGCCCTGCAGAGCCCCTGCTGGCAGCTGAAGTTCCCCTGATCGTCCATGGGGTGGAGGGGACAAAGCAGGTTCACAGGCCCTGCCTTGGGGCTACATGAGCCCACTCCACACAAAGCACAAATGCAGGCTGCTCCGAAGTCATTAAACTCTGACCCCATCTAGACGGCTCCGAGGGAAAAGATGGGTGTAGAACAGAAAGGGCTGGGCTGGGTGGGGGTGGGGCTGGAGGGCTCCAGGAGCTGCTGTAGAAATGTGGCTGAAAGGGGACATTTTGTGGGTTTTCTACATACCAGGCACCAAGCCAAGTGCCTCCCCTGTTCGGTCCCATTTGTCCCCCCTCTCTGGCTCGAGAGAATCATTGCTGCTTCACAGATGAGGAGGGCATGGCTCGGAGAGGGTGAGATGCTCCGGTCTGGCCGGCTGGGCTGGGTGCCGGCCGCTCTCGCGCCTCACCCAGCCCGTGTGACCCGGTATTAAATCCATTTTACAGGGCAGGAGACCTGGGCTCAGCGAAGTGACTTGCCAGAGTCACACATTAAGTAGGGAGCAGAGAGGAGTGAGCGTGAGGTTGGTGTGACTTCAGAAGCAGTGCCCTGCTCCTTTGTCCTTGTGGCCCAGCAGGTGGGCTGGCCCACGAGGGAAGGATGCTGGGACCAGAGAGCTGGACAGAGGGGCTTGGTCACCCACTGCTCTAGTTCCCTACCTGGCCGCCCTGTCCTTCCTGTGCGTTTCACCTGAGCTCCTGGCCTCGGCAACTCCCTTGGTCCAGTTTCTGTCTGCATGCTCGGAAGGAAGGCAGCATGGAAGGATGATGGGCACAGGGCGCTGGGACATCCGGCGTTGACCAAGCACCTCTGAGCTCAGGATTCCGGCCTCTCACATTCCAACCAGGGCTAAGGGGGACCCCTTGTTTGTCTCCATCCTGTCCACTTGGGCAGGCAAAAGCCATCCCTTCTGAAGCCTTAATAATCATTAAAATCCATCTCTCTGGGGAGGGGAGGCAATGGGAACTCCACGTTCAGCAGCTGTCCAGGTCTCTCTCTCTGTTAATCGTGAAGATTGTTCAGTTACCCACGTGGAGGGCCTGAACTGGGTAAACAGTGCCAGAGATGCGGCGTCACCGAGCAATTCTGGGGTTGGGGGAAGAGATGGTGACCAATAATCTTCCTAAAGCTGTGCCCTTTGAGGAAGGAATTCTTTTGGTCTCAGACACCAGTGAGCTGTAAGTTTCATGCCTCTTGCTCACCAGCATAAGGCCAGGGATACCCCACGCCCTTTCTCCGCAGGGCGACTCCGGTCTTTCACTCCGTGTAGAATACTAGCCTGTACAGTGTATAGTGAGACCACGTGGGATGGGTCTGTAGGGCCCGTTTGCTGTTACCTGCCAAATGAGGGTCACTGCGTGAAAGGGAATTCCAGACGGCTACCTTGCGAGTCTGTCTCCTGGTCTTTGGGTTTCTGTGTTTGTCTTTATACCTAATAAAGCTGCATCTGATGTCAGGAGAATTCTCCTGGACGGTCCCTGGGAATGTGTGGGAAAGGGTCAGCTTCCTGCTCAGAGAAGCACAGCAGCTCGTGTCAACGTCAGCCGTGTCTCTGTAGCCCTGCCTTCCCCCCTGGTCCTGCGATGCCTGCCCCCGGAAGCACGGGCTGGGCTGGAGCCCAGATCGGCCTCGGCACAGTGGGGCCGCAAATGATTGAGAGCTGACTGCAGAAGCAAGCAACCAAAGGACATCACATTTTTTTTTTTTTTTTGCAAAGCAGAGGCTTTCGTGCTAATAAAGAAGACACGCCTGGGGGCTTGGGGTGATGCAGAGAGAATTTTCGGAACCAGCCTCGCCCTCCGCAAGGCAGGGCAGGGCCCACTGCTCCTCACTCTGAGAGCCCATCTTCCGTGGAGGAGGCCCGCTCTTCAGGGTGATGATGGAGTGGGTCCATCCCACGCCACCTGGGGAAGCTGGGCCCAGGGGACTCTCCACTCTCTCTCGAAAACTTACGGGCTGTCTCTCCCTTCTGGTGACTTCCAGGATGACATGACCGACTCCCTGCGAGACTACACCAACCTGCCCGAGGCCGCCCCCTTGCTCACCATCCTGGACATGTCAGCCCGGGCCAAGTACGTGATGGACGTGGAGGAGATCACCCCTGCCATTGTGGAGGCCTTTGTGAATGACTTCCTAGCAGAAAAGCTCAAACCAGAGCCCATCTAGTGGGGCTCCGGCCTCGGGAGACATTATTTAAAACTCGGTCTTCTCCTCCTCCTCCTCTCCCCCTTCCTTCCCTCCGCCCGTGGACTTTCCCAGCGTGTCCTGAATCACACAACCCACGTGTCCAACCTCTCTGTGGTGCCTTGTTTTCTGCATTAACTCCTCAGCCGGCACCCTGGGTGCGCATCCTCTCAGCAGCAGAAGAACCACCATGTTTGGAGACGCTGCTTGGGATTCGCAGGGTTGCCGTGGCCCGGCCAGGGCCGGGGCTGCGTCACTCCCTGTCACCAGGTGTTCCACCGAGTGAGCCTGCGGGGACAGCGCACGGTGCTCTGGCTCACACAGCTCAGTGACACCGGTGGGGCAGGGACAGGGCCACCGCCTCGTCAGGCCTTAGCTGAGAGCTTCTGGTGAGAAAGCCTTTCTCGATGACTCTGTCTCGGTCGGTCTAGGGAAAACTAGCTCGTCCGTTGGTTCTTGGGCGATTGATCTCGGATCTCAAAGGAAGCTTGTGTTCTTTTCTGGTGAGAAGAAAAAAAAATAGCTACAGTCATGATTCATGTAGTCATTGCTTCATTTGATTGGGCTCCTACCATGGGAGAAGAGCTCTCATTCCTTCCTTATCTTTCTTCCTTGATCTTGACCTTCTCTCAGTTTCTGCCTTCTCCTAGGAACAGCCCCCACTAGCTTGGAATTTTGTTAATAAATTCTTCCCCCTTGGACTTCTTCCCAAGGAGATGCACTTGGCCCTGGTTCTTAGAGGAGCACCACCTCCCAGGGCAGACCGCTGGCTCAGCCCGGCTTTGGGCCTGGGACCACGGAGCTCTGTTGAGGTGCCCATGCCCACCTCTGGTTACTCCTGTCATTCCCTTTTCTTTTCCAAGCAGAACTAAAAGGAGACAAATTACCAGAAGCATTGCTTTCCCCTAAGAACCTGCAGGAAGAGCTGTGCCCGAGGGTGGGAGTGAGGGCAGAGGACATGGCGATGAAGAGCAGGCCTTGGACCCACTTGGCTAGACCCTGGTAGTCGGCTCCTTATTTGGGCTGAACTGAGCACTAAAAGGAGAATAACATCTGTGTTCTTGGGATTTGTGACGGAGGGTTTGCCTGGGGACCTGCAGGGTTTTAGCCTCTTTCAACCAGATGCCAGAGTCCTTAAAGCAACCCCAGACCTTCCCCGTGGCCCCACTCATGGCACTCTGCCAGCCAAGACCATGGATTTGGAAAACCCAGCCCCCAATTAGCTGTAACACCACTGCTCCTTGCCGAATTGGATTGTTGATTTGTAGTTCAGAGGTACAAAATTAGTTGGTAACGAGACTGTTACTCGATGTCACCAGCTTGAAATGCAATCACCTAGTAAGCAATAAAGCAGGCATCTCTGGACGTTACCAACCACTCGGCCATTCCTGTCCTCAATAACAAACATCTTTTTGCTTGTGGTGCTGTGCTTGTAAGAGGTGGGCAGGGGGATGGGACATAGGAGAGCCCCTCAATTTTCATTGGACACCTGGTGGCTACGTTTCAGAATTGTCGAGAACCCCGAGACCCAACGTGGTCATGTGTCAAATCCTCCGGAAGCCGGAAAGCTCGTTCGGATTAGAGCACTAGAGGCAGCTCCCTGCTGGAGGCCTGGCCGCCATCTCTCTTGGTTTGCCTCGCCTTTGCATGTGGTGGATTCTCACAGTAGACATCCGTGTGGACATGTGTGCTCATTCCCTCCCTGTAGGGGAGCAGATGCAGGTTTCTCTGGGAACCCTGTCAGTGTCTCCCTTGGGGGTTGGGATGGGGGTGGGGACAAGTTGAGTTTCACCTCCTTTGGAAGATGGGTAAGATTTCTGTCCGTACCCTGTATCGTGATGACCTTGGGAGAAAGGTGGTATCGTGGCAGCTACTTACCTTCTGGGGTGGAAGGAACAAAGTCCTGTGAAGAGTCCCTGTGAGTCATTGCAGCAGAAAAAAATAGGTCATCTGTGGTCCTATGTCCCGAACAGGGCTGACTGAACTACTTGCCACTAAAGTCAACTAGCTCCTTGGCGCCAGAATCCCCTTTAGAGAGGGGGTGCAGGTTAAGATCGGTGCGAAGCTTCACTAAAAAGGTGCATTAGGGTTATAGGATGGCGACTTTGGGGGGCAATGCTGGGGGAGCAAGACAGTGAAACATCCCTGTCTTGATAGCGCAAGCGATCTTGAAGGTTATTGGTGCAGACGAAGTGGGTGGCTTCTTAATTTCCACTAAGCACCTCCAAAATACCTTAAAATTCTTGTCGCTAATTGGAAGCAGGTTAAAACACCAGCTGTCGTGTATTCAGGGGTTTCTGACAGCAGCTAAGGAAACCATGCCCTGCAGCTTGAGGCAGGATGGCGGTTGTAAAAATGCCACCCCCGGGTTCCAGATTGTGCTCACCACAATGACTTCCAGATTCGATTCTATCCGTTTTCACAGCAGAAATGAGGGTGTGTTTTTTTGTTTGTTTGTTTTTTTTAAATCTGTCCCCAACAATAAAGATCTGCTTCTTCTAGATTGGTATTACAACGGCAGTTGCAGATGCCAGAGGGTGACTGAACACCAGCTTCCTTTGTCTGACAGCAGCTAAGGAAACCATGCCCTGCAGCTTGAGGCAGGATGGCGGTTGTAAAAATGCCACCCCCGGGTTCCAGATTGTGCTCACCACAATGACTTCCAGATTCGATTCTATCCGTTTTCACAGCAGAAATGAGATGGTGTGTTTTTGTTTGTTTGTTTTTTTTAAAATCTGTCCCCAACAATAAAGATCTGCTTCTTCTAGATTGGTATTACAACGGGCAGTTGCAGATGCCAGAAGGTGACTGAACACCAGCTTCCTTTGTCTCCCTCCACTCCCCTCACCCCCCACCCCTACACACACACACTCACACACTTGAAATCAATGGCGCTCACTTACCCGAGCACTGGGAGCCAGTACTTTTCTGGCATCAGCCAAGCTCCAAGTGGTAATTTTCAGCCAGACTTTGTTTTTTCCTGTTGCCTAATTAAAGACACCGAAAAGCTGTTCTCTCCTCCTGCTGCCTTTTTGCAGGGCAGCAGAAAGAATTCTGCAATGATGTCAAGACTAGGATATGGTCCAGGGACAGATCTGCCGGGTCTAATAAGCTGTTGCTCTGTCACCTGAGAAGAAAGCCACACGTGTGCGCGTGGGCGTGCGAAAGGCGGTACACTTGAATTACAGCGCTGGGTGGGGGGGCGGGGGGCGCTGAGTGAGTGTCTGGTCCATGCCCCTCTGGTCCTGCAGGCATGGGCACACGCACATTCTGTTCTGCTGTTTGCCCTGGTTAGTGTGGACAGGCCCGTGCTGGACTGGGATGCCCCCCAAGGACAGATTGTAGGGGGGGCTCAGCCGTGCCCTCTGCAGCTTTCCTCAGGGTGCCTCTTTGTGAAACAAGGACGGTCAGAGGCCCAGGCTCAGGAGCTTTCCAGTTCCCTCTCAAGTGGGCCTGACGTGAGCACTCAGCCCCTTTCCCTCTCTGCGGATACAAAGGGGAAGAATGTCCCCTGCTTTCCTCAGGCAGGCCGCTCAAGGGAAAGCTCTTTGGGGACAAATGGCTGTTGTTCATTGGCTCCATTATTGGTGCGAATGGTGCATGTGCACAGGGCGAAGTATTTCCCAGGCAACAAAAGGCTTGTATGTAGTGAAATTTTCATATTGGGCCTGCTTTACGGTCAGGGTTTCTCCTACTGGGGAAAATAGGAATTAGGATGTTCTCCACACCCCTTGCATGGGAAAGCATGGCGTAAATATGCTTCATTTTCAAGACATAAATATGTCTCGCCCCCTTGGTGTTTGGAGTGCTTCCCAAGCCAGGAAGTGTGTTGTTAAATTTGAGTAGGAGTGTTCTGAGGGACTGTTAGATTTCCGTTCAATAATGTGCCAAAGCCTCTGTCCCCAGGCAGCAGGCCGGTGGGACGCTCAGTGACAGCCGCAAGTCTGGCGCTGGTGCCTCACACCAATATGTCACCCACAGTGGGCTAGAACTGGGATTCAACAGGAGACAGGATCTCAGGACCAGAAAACACATCTCCTGTGGACATCAGAGGCTCTGGGCGTGCCCGGCCAATCACGAGCCACTGTGCCTGTTGCAGTCAGTTGGTGAGTGGTGAGAGGGAGACCAGACCCCGCTGCAGCCAGGCCACCTCCCCAGCCTTTGTTCCCTTCTTGCATTTTGAAGCATCAGCTTTAGCGATGGTCCTCACCAACTACGAAGCTTCAATTTAAAAAAGCAGCGCTTCCCTACAGAACACATGCAGTGAGAGCAGAACTGATGCTGTTTGTCATGTGTTCAGGTTTTTCCGACGTACGTGGCCTTCGAGCAGCAGCCCTGGCTTCTTGAGCTCGGCTGTTTGCAGAGCGCGGCTTGCAGCTGCTCTCTCAGCTGCTCCAATGCAGCAGGGCAACCTAGCGAGAGACTGCCTCCTCCAGAGCGGTCGTCTGGCTCACACAGTAACCTGGCTGCTAGCTTATTACCTTTGTGTATCAATTGATGAAACGACAAAAATAAGATCTTGAAGTTTAAGGTGTCTACAAGAGTGTGCCTCCCCCCTACCTCCCCCGCCCCCCCCCAAAAAAAATGTAAAAGCTGCAGGAGGGCAGAGGTGGCTTGGCCAAGAGGGGAGCCATGGGCCCAGCAGGGCAGCCAGGCGTTTTCAGCACCACCCATGGGACCCTGGCTGAGCACTGCTTATGGAGTCTTTGGTGGCAGAACAAAAGTGGAGCTAAATGCTGCTCAGCGTGGATGGTGATGACAGCTGGTGTTGCTGTTACCCCTGGGGCAAGAGGTAGGTCCCAGGGGGAACCAGTCCCTAGGTCTGTTCGTCCTCTGGGCCTTCACTTGGGAGAGCAGCTGTGACTGGGGGAAGGAAACAGGTGTTTTTTTTTGGGGGGGGGGGCCTCTCCCTGCCCAGAAGCTCCAAGCTAAGGGCGAGGCAGTGGTTCCCAGTATGGCCTGGGATCCCAGTGTTTGCCTGAAGCTGCTTTCTCAGAGGTTCTATTCAAGGGGGCGGGGTTGGGGGGGGGGGTGAGGTGCTAGTTTTGTTTTGCTGTGTCCACTTCTCATTTCTATGCATTTTCTCCTTAGTTTTGGGTCCACTGAGCTCCTATACTTCAAATTCTGCCCGGAGAATGACAATATGGATGAATCTCCAACTTACCTGAGCACAGTGGCTTGCAAAACGCTTCATGGTGGAGCATTTAAATACCCCATCCTCTTTTCAACTTAAATCCAGGAATGGCCGGTTGGGAATGGTTTTGAGGTATGGCTGCCACCTTGTGGCACAATCATATTACAACTGTGCTCAAACAAAAAGGCAAGGGGTGAGCTCGGCCAACCTTCTGACACCTTTCAGCCAAACAGTATTTTGCTTGTCAGATCCTGCTCAGTAGTTATTTCCTGGGGAAATGGTGGCAGAGCAAGTGTTGGCCCCAAAATTGAGACTTCAAGATAGCGATTTTCCAATATTACTCAGCAAACAAGAACTTCACTTGCTTCCCCTTATAGTCATTTTAAAGAAAGGAAAATGTGCCCTCCCCTGTTACATTATACCCACAAAAACACAAAAGGAAGTCACTAGGCATGGTGTATAAGCCATTGACCACAAAGTGAAAGTGATGTAAATTCCATTTCCATCTTACTCCCAGGATAAAAGAGGCTTAGAATTACTGTTTTTCTGAACAAGGACAAGGTATAGCGTTTCTTTCATTTTTATTTTGTAACAAA